GTGCCTACAGATTTATTAAATTTGAGAAATAAATTCCTTTATTGATGCTTTACAACCTAAGCTAAATGGTCATATACGAGGGGCGTTCAATACATAATGTCATTGGGGCTCGGAAAGAAACAAAAAAAAAGCTTTTGGATGATTTAGTCTGCTTGATTTAACTAAATATTTCTAATTGTCTTTAGAACACATTTTTGAGTATGACCCTTCGTATACTGGAATATGGCAGATCCTATGTTTCGCTGTACTTGTTTCTTTCTTTCTAATAGATGTTTATCTTAGTTTATTGTAGTTGTATTAGTATTGATGTTTCATTTGGTTGCACCTTTTGTTTCGTTCATTAAGAAACATAATAAGCAATTATATTTCACTAACAATTTTTGTAAGTAAATTGTATACACCTCTAGATCCATGAAGTATTTTTGAATTGGCACCTTCTCTGAAAAACCCAGCGGGGGTATTTGTTCCTATTGGACAGATCTAGTTTAGCATTGACGGATGTAAATTAAGTAATTAAAAATATTTGATTCATAAAGTTCAGTCCTAAGAATTTTTTATTACAATGCAATAGGTGTAATATCTAATGTTCTAAATGGGCGTTGAATCATTAAACTTGGTTTAATGGTGGGTTATAGGTCCTTAATGATGGTTAAATTGTTTTTTTTTAAGTCACCATTAAGCGCCTTTAAGTAATATTTACATCATCTTTAAGTTACAATTAAGCCATCTCAAAGTCTTTAGGCAGTAGATAATACTTTATGGGTGAAAAATCATTTCTGGAAGGATTTATTTCTACAAATCATAAATGTCGAGTTTAAACATATCTTGATTTGGTAATACTAAGAAAAAAAGCGAAATTCAAAATAAAAAAGAAATTTGACCGTCCCAAACCGGTTGCAAAAAACTTTTTTAATTTGGATTTTAAGGGCGGTATGGTTGATCAAAATAGGGACAGCTATGTCAGGGAAAATGTCCAAAGCAGGAGAAATATTCTAACGTTTATATTGCCTATCGAATGTGGCATCATTACAAACTGGGATGAAATGGAGCAGATCTGGTTTCAAAACTTCTATAATGAACTCTGTATAGCACCAGAAGAACATATTGTTCTTTTAACCGAAAAACCACGTAACCATAAACCAAACAGAGAAAAAAATGACACAGTTGATGTTTGAAAACCTTTAATACCCCAGTCATGTACGTTGATAACCAGGCTGTACTCTCCTTGTATTCCACTAGTCGTACAACTGGAATTGTACCGGACTCTGGAGACGGTGTCACCCATGCAGTACCCATATATGAGGCTTATGCCCTTCCACACGCTATCATGAAATTGGATCTTGCTAGACGTGATCTGACAGATAATCTTATGCAACTCCTCACAGAACGAGTTTTTTTAACAACAGCTGAGAGAAAAATCGTCAAGGATATAAAAGAGAAATTGTGCTACGTTGCCTTGACTTTGAACAAGAAATGGCAACAGCATCGTCAATGTCAACCCTAGAGAAGACCTACAAGCTCCCTGACGGCCAGGTCATCACTATTGACAACGAGCGATTCCGGTGTCCGGAAGTCATGTTCTAGCCATCTGTCCTTGGAATGGAAGCTTTTAGTCTTCCGGATAATTTCAAACACAAGCATTAGGCTCTATGATTCTGATATTAAAAAAGACTTGTACGCAAATACAGTATTGTCTGGGGGTTCAACTATGTACCCAGGCATCGCAGACCGTATGGCGAAAGAATTGACAACTTTGGCTCCTAAAGAATTCACAATTAAGACCATTGCTTCACCTGAGAGAAAATACTCCGCCTGGATCGGTGGTTCTATTTTTGCCTCTCTCTCCTCCTTCAGAAATGTGTGGATCAGCAAGCAGGAATATGAAGAATCCGGTCCTTCCATTGTGTATAGAAATTGCTTTTAAATTTAACGAAAGCGGGCCCTCAGTTGTACAAAGAAAGTAAATTTAAGTTGGCTAAATAAAAGATGTTTCTTGCATAACATTATAAAGTGTGATATTGCAAACTGTAAACATTCATATCGACAAAGTACATGTATTGTTATACGTTTTTACTTTGAATTCTTTATTTACACTCGAACTTGTGTTGCATACATGTTGCCAAGTTATTAAATCAAAATATAATATGATGTTATATTAATTAATAAATGCTTATTATTTAATTTATTATCGTGTTTGTTTGTTTGTTTGTTTTTTTTTTTTTTTTTTTTTGTTAGCAGCAATTTGATATTAGGATGATTAATAATGCTTTAAGATGTTGAGATTCTGTCACAGGGTGACAATTACTTGTTTTTATTTTATTTAGTATAATTATCTAGTACAGCTGGTATAGTAAGTAAATGTAGCAAATAAGATAGCTGTAGTAAATTCCTTTCATTCATTCACTCATACCTGGTCATTCATTGTCATCGTGTTTGTATTATATTCTTGTTTGTCCGGTGTTCCTTGTCACGTGAGTATTTGGTTGTCACGTGATTGTCTTGTGGTCAATTATTATCCTAGGCGTGAGTGGTAGAACCAGTATGTATGGGGTGTGGTAGTTATGTACGCATGTGTGAGTCCTGGAATATATACTTATGCATGGACTATTCCTTTTTAATCTTGACGATAATTTGGATGTTTTCCTGCGAGAAATCTATTAGCACTTTGTCTAAGAAATTCCTTACGGAATCTTAGTGCCTGAATTGTTAACGTGACTGGTAAGAATAATTTAATTGTAATTTTGATATTAAATTATTGAAATTAAATAAATATTAAGTGTGTGTGAATTTGTACGAATGTGCCATTTTCATCGCAGGTCACCTTCGTTTTTTCGTTCGTTTGTTTATACTTCATTTATTTTCATCGTTCCTGCAATTGCCAAGTAATAAAAACATATGAACCTTTATTGAGGAACTATTGTGTTGCATTATCATTCCCTGAGATTGGAGACCCGTGACGTAATTATCCATTACTGTAAAAATTGTTTTAAAATTTTTAAGACGAAGATTTTCACCCCATAAAGGAAATAGATAAATACATGGAAATTTATCAACAATTTATATGGACAAGATTGATTAAATATGCACAATGTGTTTCTAATTTATATGATAATTAAATATTTTCCGATGAAGGTGTCGCATTATAAATATGCAAACGCCTATTGAACTGTGACAGCATCGCTACGTCATTTGAAATTCAGGTCACTTAAATATATGTCTTTGCATATGAAAGAGCTGAAAGAAGGATGTGGAAATAATATACAGTATTCAATATCAAAGTCACTAAAACAATACAATAAAGGAACAGAGCAAACACAGACCTCCGAAGCATCAGCGGTTGGATCAGGTGCCATGGAGGAGTGAGCATCCTCTGCTGACTGGTCACACCCGTTTAACTCTTCCTTCTCTTTTAGTACGTAAAACATTCCAAAAATCAAACTTTTTTCATAAATGAATCTAAAAAATAATTACAAATAAATTGATAAAGAAAATATTTGCTGTTTCACACTTACAATAAATAAACATTTGTCAGGTTGACTTAACTTCACGCATCACCGGTTTATACAACGCAAGTCGACGTTATTTAGTCCTTATCGATTGATAGTCTTTCGGAGTTTTTAATACAATACCACATGCCTGAATCGAATTAAATGGATTATTAGATAACAAATGCTCATATCGAAAGAAATATCTCATCTAGTTACTATCGGCTAAAATAAATATTTGAAGTTGAGACGACTGAATCATTTTTTTTTACAAAACATCAACAATTTTTGTTTTTCATAGAGCTTGTTCATGAACTTTTTTTAACAACTGTTGGTAAATTGGTAGACTTAAAGACATTCAAAACGCTTTCAGTCTTTTTTTTTCAGAAATATTTTCCCTGCTTCTAAATGTCGGGTTTCAAGGGAAAAGTTACATGCATTCGTTTCTATTAGTAAATTGAGTAAAAAATATCTCTATGGTGGCTGAAGTATTAATATACAGTTTTACCTATTAACATTTCTCCAAATTTACAATTCATTGCTAAATAAGAATGTTATTTTTTTTTCCTCAAACGTATGTCCCTAAAATAACTAGAGTCCCAAAAAAGCTAATTATGTCAATTAACAACATGAGCTTGTCAACTGCATTTCAAGAATATGCGTACTAATTATTCAATCTTTGTTACAAACTGCTGTCGAGAAAAAAATAACTCCAACCCCTTTTTATTAAATAACATATTACACAATGTATACTCAGACAATAAAGTTTAATTATGCGTCTAGAGTCACTTTTGGCAAATTTTCCTAGATTTTGTAAACATTCACAATAAATAATTTTTTTTTGCTAGTATCAAATGATACGATTGCAATATGTTACCAAATAGTAAGACAGCACGCTAGGAATAAAATATATAAAAGCTGATACTAATAAGAACGATAGTACCTTCAGACGGGATTAAAACTAATCGTCACTTATTGCTCACGAGAGGCAAGATATTTTTTTTTTACTGAAAATAGATTGAGAATTATACGAAAAAGAAAAAAAAACACAATTTGTTACTATGCATAAAAAAACTTAATTATTATATTATAACTCATTAATTGAAGAACTTTCATCACTAATCAAACAATTATATTATTCAAAACAAGTGAGGAAAACATATATACCTATAATTTTTTTTTTTTACTTTTAAAAGAAGTGTATTAATCCAAAGACTTTAACATTAAAAAAAAAATTTTCATTTTTGAATCCCCGAATAAAATTACAAAATATAAATGAAAAGTGACGGAATTATAACGTTATTGCTATATTTGTCTGATTTCGTTTTTCTCTGATAATATTCCTTCATACTGATAACTACCACACGTAATTGTATGACGGTTAAATGGCATGTCAGTAGGTTAATAAAAAACTTTTCATAATCATGGAACTTTCCTTAATTTAAAAACAGAATATACAAATTTGAAGACCTCACTCAAAATTTGTTCTCCATTATTTATCATGAATTTTATAGAATGACCTCCCTAGTGTTGATTGTGGGGTTAATTTCCCTTTTTGGCATCATTAACACTGACAAAGTGTCACCACGGCCAAGCTTTAAATCCTTCAGAGACGACTATGACAGTGTGGCTAAAACATGTGTGGCTGTTGGATACGTAAAAGACAACTGTAAAAAGAATCTGGACAGAAGTAAAATACTTACCCAGATACATCCTTGAATATGCAATGAGCTCACAAGCTTTTTATTTATATACATATGTACTTTATTTGTTCTTAGAAAATACAGCGTTCAACGCCAAAGCCAAAGGAAGTGCCCAGGCAGTAAGTGCTGGGGACATCGTTATGTTTGGAGATGTCGATCTGAATATAGGAGGCGGTTTCAACGTAGTTAATGGAACTTTCACCGCTCCAAAATCGGGGGTTTACGTCTTTGACTGGACAATAATGACGTACACCAACAAAGCTGCTTATACATCGCTGGTTTTGAATGGTCTTAGAACGGCATATAACCATTGTCACAACATTAGCCATGGAATTCAAATGTCATGCAGTAAAATGGCTGTCGTCAGAATGGAAGCGGGAGATCAGGTTTGGATTGATAGCTTTGCTGGAACATCATCAGTTTACCAGAAGTTTTCTTCTTTTTCTGGTTATATTTTGTGAATGCTTAACAGAGATACACTATTAAAAATGTAATCAGTAGGAATATATTTGTTATCTATCTGGGTTTCTACAAATATTTATGCTATGTGTGATATGTAGTTGTAAATATCCTTGTTTATAAGTTTGTTCTGCCTCCTTTGCACACGAAAAGTACATATTGCTCTCGTGGTTAATTTTGCAATATTAAAATACTTATGAAAATGCGAAATAAGCTGAGGGATTTTGAAGTGCACTAGGTTCTCTTCGATATACATGTAGGAAGGTATTTACCAGTATGCCAAATAATTAAGAAATTTATTATTATATTTTGTATTACTTGTGAGAGTTGACACAGGATGTAATATGCAAAAGAGTGTATACACTTTTTTTTAGAATTAATTTAAATATAATTTTTCTCTTCTTCATATGAATAATACAGTATTTCAGTATAAAAAAATTTAAAAGCATCCAGATAAGAGATTTGTTTTAAATATTGAAATTTTATCTACGTCATTCATTTAATATCCATCCTGTTACTTTTACAAAAAGAACTGTATAATTCCTTATTTAAGTTTTGTCACGTTCTCCTTAAAAATATTATTAATGATTTTTTTTTATGAATTAATATATACCAACAAACTTGACATGTACAATTATCCAATATACGTTGTACAAGAAGTTGAACTCATGACAAACGGCCACATACTAAGTAGAAGCAAAATACTCAGATTTTTTCATCATAACAGTATTGGAGATTGGTAATAGTCTAAATACATTCTTGTACAGCATCTCATTGATTACAATAAACAATTACAGTGACTTGATTAGACAGGTGCTTGGTCGAAGGACATTAAACTGGGATATTGTACTGGTAATAGTAAGATCTTGACTTAGCTGGAAAAACACATAAAGGAATCAAAAAGACGTCGTGGCTTTAAAACTGCCGATATACATGTCAATAAAGACGCTGGCACGGTAAGAAATCCTCACCGTTCAATGGCTTTGAGTGCCGAGCATAGGTCCAAAGTTTAAGAGACATCACCGACGACACTCTGTGCCGTTTCTAGAGGAATACAGGGATCGTGAATAAAACTTTCAGACAGCATGCAATTAATATATCAATAAATCATAATTTTTGTATAGAATAAGATATACTGAGCAAGGAAATATAATGTCCAAAAGACTCGATAGCATGCTTACCGATGAGAAAGCGGACTGAATCATTTACCAATGTGTGAATTATAAGAAACAAAAAACAATACCAGCAAATGTATTAAAAAATGTAACAGCTTTAAAAATTTACTTAGATTTGTAAATTGCAAGTAAATTTTAAAAAAATGAACAAAAAATTTATTATTTTAAGATAGAAATGATAAATGATTACCCTACACTGTTACTGTTTACTTTCATGACGTGAGACAACGTCATTGTTTCTCAGTGTCCATTCACTTATACACTTACAGGTATCTGGATGAGGTTTCATGCAGTTAAGTTATTCATAAGGACTTAAACCCGATTAATATTCCTAAATTTACAATGTCATTAATATTTTTTTAAATATTTTCCTTGTATTTATAATGGGCTATCAAAAATATCGTCACGTCTTTGAAACTTATCGAGAACATAAAACATATATATGCACTAAAATTAAAGTTAAAGACATATCTAGCTTTATTCGTTAGCTGTTAATAAAATGTTTAAAAGATATTTGATAAGAGTTATTTTTTTCTAAAATAGAAAAGACAATTGATCAACAGGCACTATCGCCATTTACTCTCATGATGTCTAAATACGTCCTTGTTTCTCAGTTACCGTTCCCTCTATCTTAAATGTTTATATTTTTATGATACATGATCCTCTCTAGAGTTAAGTAAGGACCAAAACCCGTCTAATTTACCTGAATTTACAGTGTCATGAACAGCTGTTTTCAATGCATATAATTCTGTAAATGTTTTATACACAGGAAAAAATATGCGTATATGTTTTTGTTGGTGTTCAATATTTGCTGCACATGATCAACGTCTTTTTTCAACTTTCCTGACTTGTAACACCCGTAGTGCAAATTGACATTTACTGTGCATCTGTCATCTCTATGATTTTTTGGGGCATTGAAAAGCAAATACTCTCTATGCATTTTATTGCTTGCAGACCGTTCTCATTCGAAACCTTTTCTATGTCTATAACAATTTCTATATGCGAATTTTTTTTTTAAATGTTTGGAATAAGTTACCTCTCCCATTTTTATGTCACTTTCAGCTCTGAATTGATCGGACACTTCACAAAAAAATTACAACATTTCATAGAACTTACTTAAAATTGGGTAAAAGCAAAATTTAAGGAAAATCATATGATACCACACACTGACTAAACTGGATTTTTTGGATGATAAATGCATACACATGTATAACAAGAATTATTTCATTACATTTATATGAAATACTGGAAGATGTGGCGACTGAAAATACTGTCTTCCCACTTTTTATTAAAATAGAAAATTTGGACAACAAATTTTCTATTTTAATAAAAATTTGTGGGAAGACAATACCATTGCTTTCAAGAACATTAGCAATTAATTTGAAAAATAAAACTTCTGATGTATAGCTCATTCTATAATAAGAAAATATTATTATAACTAAATGTATTAAAATTCAATGATGTACCTAAAGCATGCAGTTTTAATTTCATGATGCCACATAGTTGACGAACTATTTTAATAATCATTTGTTAATCATTAGACATACAAACACTTAACAAGCTTTTTAATTTTTTTATATCAGTATTTTTTCTGTTTCTAAATGTCGTGTTTCAATGGAAATGGTATATTTTTGCTGCATAACATTATAAAATTTATTTTTAGAAAAAAAAATATAGAGAATTTAAATTCTGAGTTGGCAGACTTTCCTGGATTTCGTTAACGTGCACAATAAATAATTTTTGTTGCTGGTATCAAATGATACGTTTGCAATATGCTACCAAATAGTAAGAAAGCACGCAAGGAATAAACTATATAAAAGCTGATACTAAAAGGAGCAATTGCAGCTTCAATTTCAAATTGGCGTTAGAACAAACTAACAAGTATTCCTGACAAGAGGTAAGAAAACATTTTGTATTTGAAATAAATTAGAAGAATACGTTAAAAAAATTGATTAAAAAAAATTTGTGTAACTGTGTATGGAGTATATGAATGATCATGGTCCTATATTTGAAGAAGTTTTGGCGTTAACTTTCTGAAAGGCAAAACATACTTATTAATTTTATTTTTTTTCTTATATTTTCGACAGAAAGATTTTGAATCAGAAATCCTTTTTGTAAAATTGGTTTTTAAGAATACCCGAATAACATAAAAAAAATATATATATGAAAAAAACTTGACGGAATTATAACGGTATAGCTATTTATTTTGTCTGAATAGTTTTTTCTTATATTATTGCTTTATAAATTTTATTCTTGAAACTTCAATAATTAAATTTCTGACCGACAATTCACATTTCATGAGGTCTGTAAAAACTATTTCCAATAATGGAGCTTTCAATAATTAAATATTACCATTCAATTAGAAAACTCACTCAAAGTTTGTTTTCAAATTGTTTATCATGAATTTTATAGAATGCATTCCTTAGTGTTGATTGTGGGATTAAGTTCAATATTTGGCATCATTATCACTGACAAAGTATCACCCCGGCCCAGCCTTAAATCCTTCAGAGACGATTATCACAGTGTCGCTAAAACATGTGTGGCTGTTGGATATGTTAAAGAGCAGTGTAAAAACAACCGGGACAGAAGTAAGTTACTTACTTACCGTGGAACATCACATACTTAATTCATATACATATACATTGAGTCCATTTATTTCATTTATATTTGTACCTTTTTTTTTTAGAACATACGGTTATAGCATTCAATGCAAAAGCAAAAGGAAGCACCCAGAGTTTAAGTGTTGGGAACATAGTCATGTTTGGAGACGTTGATCTGAATATTGGAGGAGGTTTCAACGCAGTTAAAGGGATTTTTACCGCCCCTAAAACAGGAGTGTATGTCTTTGATTGGACAACAATGACAGACGGTAACAAAGCTGCTTACACCTCACTGGTCTTGAATGGTAAAAGACGGGCATATAACCAGTGTGGCAACAACAGCCGCGGTGTCAACATGTCATGCAGTAAAATGGCTGTAGTAAGAATGGAGGTAGGAGATAAGGCATGGATTGATGGTTTTCATAGAACATCATCTGTTTACAACACATATTCTTCTTTTTCTGGCTACATGTTGTAAATACTCAAAAGAGATACGTAATTAAAAATTAAAAAGTCATTTAGTAACAGTTTTGTTGTCTATCTGAGGTTCTCCATGAGTATAATATGCTTATATGTTATATGCGAATGCAATTGTAAATATCCATGTATATATTCTGCTACCATCGAACAAGGAATTTCAATGTCAAAATTGCTTTAAAAAATCAAATATGCTGAATAAGCTTGAACATTTTGAACATTTTGACCTGTCCGGGGTAAGCTTAGATATACATAGGAAAGTGAAAGAAACTTTGTGAGAAAATGCATGGTAGCATTTTACACCTAATCGCAAACCAAGGGCAAAATGTACGGTATCTCCCATTCTGGTCGGGTAGGAAAGAGCTATGGAGAGAACTACACGCAAACTCTGAATTCTGGCTTGAGACGATGTATTTTACATCACTTATTCAATTTCTCGGATTGACCAGAATGCGATAGGAAAAGGGGCAATTACATTAGTTTCTTTTTTGCAAGTTTTTCAATGGCATTCTTTTTTTTTGGGGGGGGGGTGTGAAAATCGGTAAACTATATTTTTCTCAACTTTATTTGATTAATACATTGTTAAACTACATAGATCTATCGTATTGTAGAAAATAAAATTCTTTCTATAATACTGACATTTTACCATTAGTTAGTCATTCAAAATGAAATGCCTTTCCTGTTACATTTATTAACAGAGAAATTAAATTCTGTATTTTAGTTATCTTCATAGTCTTTATCTTCCATAAATTGTTAAAATATTTAAAATTCATAATTATTTATAGCTGAATGCCAGGATGTTAGACATTTAAAAAAAATATTGGTGTTGTAAAGCCTGACTAACTAACATACTGTTGTATACATGATTAAAGTAAGCAGAAGCAAAAGTCTCCTTTCAGGAAAACATTATTGCAGAATGCTTGAAATCGAGGGATAAAATACGGTTTTAACATTATTTTGGTATTTAGAGTAAACAATCAAAAACTTGATTACAGAGTATAAAGATGTTTAGTCAAAGCAAAGTAAACTAGGAATTTGCATTGGTAACTGTAAAGACTTGGTGTAACAGGGGAGGGGGCATAAATGTAACAGCATGAACAAGAAATTGAACCTTAAAACAAAAATTAAACCTTTGTTTTACTTTATTGATTTAGAAAAGAGAATATGATGTCCAATAAAAAAAATAATGAAAACATATTGCTACATCTGGTAAATTAGAGACAATGAAAGATTAAAAAAAAGAAAAATAATGGTTTGATTTCAAAAACTTGTTCTATGTCTAGAGGCATAAGACAAGGGTGTCCTATTTCAGTCTTGCTATTTTTATTTGTTGCAGAAATATAAGCTATGAAAATAAAAAAAATAATGAACATATTAAAGGTATTAAATTAAATGCAACTTCGCCAGAAATGAAAAAAAATCTACAACATGCGAATGATATAATTTTCGCTTTAAAAGATATATCCTCACTAGAAACAGCAATTGATATTGTTCAAACTTTTTGCAAACATGCTGGATCAAAAATTTATCTAAATAAAATACAGTGTATAAGTTTAGGTAGTCTCAAGGATAGGCACTCAAATGTGTGTGGTATAAAAGTAACTAATGATGCTGTTCGCTGCTTAGGTATTTTTATTGATCATAACAAAGACTTATCCTACTACTTGAATGATATTAAAATTTATGAAGATATGGAAAAAATGTTTGAATCATGGAAAAAAAAAACAATTTTTGGAAAGTCTTGTGTAGGTAATTCTTTAGCTGTACAAAAATTAATATGTTTTGGCTCAATATTATCCATTCCAGACCACGAGTTAATAAGAAAATTAAAAAGTAGTGTATTCGATCTTATATGGAACAAACAAGGTAGAATTAAATGAGACACTGTTATAGGCAAACAAGAAGGTGGGGGAATAGGATTAGTTGATATTGAACTGAAATTAAAGGCCTTAAAGGCAATTTGGGTACCAAGACTTAGTGATGAATCTTGTATACTGAAAAAAGTCATTTAATGAAAATAATATAGAAATTAATTACATGTATATATTGACATTGTCTGAAGGAAAACTCGAAAACTAACTTATATCTCACTTGTTTACTTTTTATAAAGAAATGTTCTGTTATTTCAATGAATGCGAAAAGGAAATAGAAGTATCAAATTTATCTAATGTCAAATCTGCACAACAACCACTTTGGAATAAAATCTTAAATAATTTTTTAAGGTAAAACAATATGTTTTAAAAACTAGATTGCAAGTAATATTTTGTATACGAAAGATCTTGATGAAAATGGTAACTTTGAAACATTGCAAGAAATTTCAAACACTCTGACAAATAAATCTAACTGGTTGTGTGAATAGAAGATTTTAAAAAAAGTAGTAGCGAAACAGAGTAATATGTTTGATATGAAGTATTGTATTTTTACAAAGTCAACTTCTGTAAATTCTTTCAATTTTAACAGTGGTTTTCATTGTATTACAGATAAAACTGTAAATTTTTCTATGAGAATATGTCGTCTAAAAAGTTTAGACATCCATGTTATCAATCAATTTTAGGTCGAACCGTTTGTGTGAGTAAAAAATACTGGTGTAATATTTATAGAAATAAAATTAAACTCATGTATGATAAACGTCTTAGTGAATTTAATTATAAATTGTTGAATAATATTCTATGTTGTAATTATTTTTTTTTAAAAAAAATGTCAATCAAGAGGAAATGCAAAATGTGAATTTTGTGGAAATGAAAATGAAGATATAAAACATCTAATTATTGATTGTGATAATGTAAAAGGTGTATTGCAAAAGTTAAATATTGTTATGAACTATGATGTGTGATGGAAACATATTGTTGTAGGATTCTACTTGGAAACAAATTCAAGAATTCTTTTCTAAAATACTGTAATATCATATTTGGCATATAAAATATATAAATTCAAAATGAAAAGCAGAATAGAAAATATTATTCAAGAGAAGTTCACGTTAGAAATAAGCATTAGAGGTTCATTAGAAAACCTTTTTATAGATTTCGTGTTAAATAAGTCAAACATGCATGTTTAAAGACCAAGTTAAACTTTTAACATTTTTGTTATATTGATATATTTTGTTTTTTATTGTTTTTTTTTTTTTTTTTTTTTTTTGTTTTTATGCTAGTTATCCTAAATACCCAGGTTTAATGGCAATTGTAAATGGGTATTGATGGGAACTGCGTAATAAAACATAAAAAAAGACAATGAAAGGCATATATGTTCATCTTGTTACCAAATTTTATAACTTAGTGCTATGTAATTGTATATCACTTTATTATTTTATCTTGTTTTGAATTATTCATTTGATCAAGGTCTATCAAAAATATATACTTTAATTAATGGGCAGGCCTACCTGAAGGACTACAACGCCATATAAAAGAAAAGTGCTATCACGAACAAAATGCAGTTTTGACTATCTTTTGATATACTTTCAAAGTTGCAAAATAATGAAAAAAAAAATTAGGTTTAAAATTAAAATCTAAAAAGATTCTAAAAATTATTTGATAGAAAAAAATTTTAAGAACATTATTTTATTGATTTTTAAAATGACTTTTCCCGGAAAATTGTTCTCACCTAGGTCACTCAAATATTTTGAATACATCCTTTTTATACTTAGACAATCTTGAAACATTTGTAACAGAAGTGCCATTGTGCACCTACTTTTTTTTTTTTAATTTTGATTCGACATAGTTGTATTTTGAGGCCCAGTTTTAAAATGCCCTTTAATAAATTGTGTAATAAATTGTGTATCGATCAATGAGAGAACCATTTTTTTCCAGAAGGTATATTTATTAAAATACTTGACAAAAAGGTTAGGGATCATGATTTTGAATTGTTTTCTCAAAACAATTATTATAAGTTTATAACATATTTTTACCTTATAGTTCAACCATACTTTTATCAAATTATATTGAAGCGCGCTAGCAAAAAGCAAGTATTCTGAGTGAATTAAATTTCTTTGCATCTCGCTTTAATATTTTCGAGGTCTGTACCAGTTTCCATTTTGGAAAATGTTATAAAATATTTTTTTTTAACTCTCCCCGTTTTTGATGTCTTTTTCAGCTTTTCATTGTTTGGGCACTCCATATAAAATTCTAAAATCTTATAGCATTTACATAGAATGGGGTGAAATGGCAAATTCAACGGAAAAATTATGTAACACCACATCAAGCCACATGCCCGAATTAGTGGAATGGAATGTCTGGATGACAATTGCTCTTATAAAGAGTTGTCTCATATTCACACAAAAATAAACATTGGAGGGTAATTTCATCGCGCTAGTCCACTAGCTGTTTCTAATTACCCTTCGTAAATCAGTAGACCTCTCGATATTCAGAACGCCTAATGTCTATTTTTTTCATTAATATTTTTCCCGTATCTAGATGCTTAGTTTCGAAGATATGCGTGTATTCCTTTCTTTCAGTATAGTGAGTCAATGAAATATTTCTATGGTCGCTGAAATAGATTAATTTTGTTATATACAGTTTTACTGATTCATTTTTTGCTATATCAAAATGTTAATAATGTCAAAAATCTGTCTCTAAAAACTATTTTTATCTCAGATATAAAACTACAGTATGTGACAGACCAACGTAAGCTTCACAACGTACCTAGCCCAGACTTGTGAAAAAACGGATAAACCGGTATCAAAAATTAAAAAAAAAATAGCCCCCCTTATTTCTGCTGAATAAGAAAATAATACAAATTGAATATATACTGAGACAATAATTTTACAGAATATGTATGTATCTACAGCCACTTTTGAAATAGCTTTCGTGGAATTTGGTAAATATTTACAATTTTTTCGATGCCTGTATCAAATGATATGATTGCAATGTGTTACCAAATGATAAGGTAGCACGCTAGAAATAAAATGTATAAAAACTGGTATTTAAAAAAGGTTTCATCTTCAATTGGCGTTATCCAGTATTCAAAACGAAAGGTAAGAAACCTGTTCATGCTGAGAATAAATTAAGAAGATTACGTTAAAAATCGTTGATAAAAAATTTGTAACTTTGTATGAAGTGTATAAATTATCATAACGCTATACTATAACGTGTTAACACACTACTAAGCATACCCTAAAAAATTGTGTTAGCATTTCACACGAAAATAAATTAAAAATTTTATTTCATCTAAAAGTTATTGAAACTTAGAAATGTTTGAAAGCAAAACCGCTTAACAGGTATCGTCATATGTTAATGTTAGGTACAGAGTTAAGCAAACTGAACACACCCGTGAAACGTACACAGCTTTTGTAAACAGGGCACGAACTCTGTTATTGTTAATATTTACGATTCACTGGGTGTGTATATTTGTTAATGTCTACTTACCACACTTGCACGGACTAATAATATACTGTGTTTATGGCTTGCTTTCGAAAAATTTTACTCTGAATTTTCTGGATTATAGTTTTAATATTTTTCATTAATACACAACAAGATTGCAACTTTTCCTTTTTATTAAGAATAAAATCAAATTTTGTGAAAGTGCAAGGATGTGTCAATCAAATCCATCCAAACATTTAAAGTTAAAAAAAACTTTTAGATGAAATAAGATTTTTAATTTATTTTCGTGTGAAATGCCGTTACAATAAATGAATCTTGATATTATACAAAAAATATTTACTTCAAATCTGTGTCTGTGCACCTTTAAGAATTACCGAATAAATGATCGAATGAATATTTGAACAAAATGACGGAATTATAAAGTTGTATATAAATTTGTCTGAAAAACATGCTGTATTTCATATCATCTCTTCATATTTTTTTAATTCTGAAAACTACCACATTTAAATGTTTGACGGACAATTCACATGTTGTGAAGTGAATAAAAGACTATTTATAGTCATAGAACTTTCAATAATTAAATCTAATTTTCCAAATATGAAGAGCACTCAAAATTTTATTCTCCATAGTTTATCATGCATTTTATAGAATGCATTCCCTCGTGTTGATCGTGGTATTTGGTTCACTTTTTGGCATCATTAACACTGACAAAGTGTCACCCCGGCCCAGCCTGAAATCCTTCAGAGACGACTATGACAGTGTCGCTAAAACGTGTGTGGCTGTTGGATATGTTAAGGATCACTGTAAAAATAGCCGGGACAGAAGTAAGATATTAAATCGACTGCATTCTTGATGTAACACATAAGCAATGAACAAAAGTATCTTTTCTTTGCATGTATATTTTTTTTTTTTTAGAAAATATGGTAATAGCATTCAACGCCAACGCCAACGGAAGTGTTCAGTCAGTAAGTCAGGGTAATATTGTCATGTTTGGTGAAGTAGATTTGAATATAGGAGGTGGATACATCCCTGTTAAAGGAATTTTCACCGCCCTAAAATCGGGAGTTTACGTCTTCGATTGGACAACAATGACGGACGCCAACAGTCCGGCCTATACCTCACTGGTTTTGAAAGGTAAAAGAAGGGCACATAACCACTGTCACAACAACAGCCACAGTATATACATGTCTTGCAGCAAAATGGTTGTAGTAAGAATGGAGGCAGGAGATAAGGCTTGGATAGATAGCTTTGCTGGAACATCATCTGTTTTCAACCAAAATTCTTCCTTTTCTGGTTTCATTTTGTGAATGCTCGACAAAGAAATACACAAAAAAATATGCAGTCTGATACAGGTTTATTGCCTATCTTTGTTTTCTCAAGAATACATATTATGTGTGAATCTATTATGGTATAAATATCTCAGTACACAAATACCGTATACATTCTATTGTCCTTGTATAAAGAAATTATAAACTCAAAGCACTCATCAAATATGCGGAAGAAGCGTAAACATTTTGATTTGTTGAGGGTTTTGACTTGTTCTCAGGGTTTTCTTTGATAAAGAAATACTATATGAAAAAAATGATAAAGAAGTACTACATGAATATAACGTTTACCTCGCAAATAATTCATAGTGCGAGATTTGCCAATACTTGTGCTGAGCCTCGATTGACACAGGTTGTGATATGAAAAGTGCATTTACTAACTCTATTTTTAAAATTGCTCATTTTTGGATAGCATTTTTAAATAAACGAAAGCCATTTAAGGTAGTAAAAAACACCAATGAAATCTGCTAAACTCATATTTACACATATTTATCTTTCACAATGCCTTTGTCCGAGATAAAATTACAAATTAGTTAATGTACATATTTCTACATAAATGTACAGAATCAACGAAAGGTGTTTAAAATACAATCACGTGCGGGCGATACAAATAGAGACAAAAGTGGGGCTTAGAGCACGTGAATTGGTTGGATCAATAGCATGATTTCTAAATTTATCTCATACGTGTAGATGATCGTACCGTTGGGATCAACCTCTGCCTGGATCAACAATGAATCTTAAAGTACCCTTGCGTAGCACGTTTTTTACTGCCACCGTACAAAGAGTTAATTTTCCCCATTCCTTTGGTCGTTACAACTTTCATTAAAAGTTTACTTGAAGTAAAACTCCAGCAATTTTCACAAAAAGTTTTCAAAGACATAGATAGCAAAAAATCTAAATTTTGAACACAATCAACTTTCTTTAAAAACATTTCATCAACGTCAACAATGCCACATGTACGTCATCAAGTTATACATATCAATTTTTCAAAAATAGAAATCATTCATGTAGTTTCACAAGGGAAGTTTCAAAGTTTTGTTAAAACGAAAAACGCATGAGATAAATAAAACATTTATAATTGTGTGATTTAATATTGGTTTTATCCTACTCATTAAAAAGGTGTATATTCGATCGGCAAGCCTCGCGAATATATACACAATTTCAACTAAAAGTAAATCGTTAACTGTAAAAGTCAGTGCTTCTCGCAAAAAGGAATGACGAGAATATGACATCAGCGATTTATCAAACTTTTATTAATTCTCAATCTATTTTTTCTATTTATTCAGTTTTAAGGAAAAAGGTAGTATGGCGCAGCTAGGGTAGCCCTGTCCTTGAACATTTATTTATTTATTTATTTATTATTTATTTATTTATCAAAATATCACAAAATATTTTAAATAAACTGATAGAATGCAACAAACCCAAAGCTACAAAAGCATACTCATATTGTAAGAATTATAATTATGGATATTCCCATTTGAATTTTCTAAACCTCTGAAAGATAGGCCAAGGGAACTAAATATCTAAATGTAGGCTACCATGTGTATGGATGTTTGACCAATGACTTTGAATAACATGGACCGAATAAAGTTGAAGTTCATAGCTATTTTTACATTAGCTCATTTTGTTTAAATAATATTTCACCAAATACGCTTTTCTTCATTCAAAATCTGCTGATGAAGTTGGTTATTATTACCATATTGTTACCTCTTGTACCATGTGCCAAAGTTTAAAGTATGGACGGGTGAAAAATCGATCTGTTTCAATCCAATGAAATATTTGCTATCGAGCAAAATCAATGTTAATAAGATAACCCATGTTAATTCTTTGACCGAAACTTAACTTTAAAATCTGGAATTATTGTAAAATATTTCATAATACAAAAAAAAAATAAATCGGATACTTTCATCACCCACCTTTCACTTTCATTTATACATAGAAAAGGGGCAGATCACAACTACCCAGGCGTCCCGCGGAAGTAAGCGGGTCACCGTGGGGGCGACCTGTGCCTTTGCACAAATTACTCAGAGACTAACCTCTGGAACCTGGCGCTACCCAGGTTCATTATTTTCCTTACTCATTAGTTAAAGGCACCAAACAGGACTGAAAGACAGAAATATTATGTTTATGTCACTCTAAGATCACGAGTATGAATTTTGAAAATCGCACGGCAACAATTTTTGCAAAGTCAAAGTCGACAAATCAATGTATAATAATTAATCCAAGTCTTTTACAAGACGAGAATTCACAAAAAAATCATTTCTACAGTAACACGTGTTTTAAACTACACTTAGGTCTGAGGATTAAGAACAGTGCTGCAAATATTCATTTAATTAAATATCCATTGACAGCGTGATTTTTAATTCTAGAAAAGACCAACTGTTTAAAATAGTTTATTATTAGAGAAGGAAAATTCCTTTCTTCACTCTTCCTAGATATGTTTGCCATTCAGCATAATTAAGACCACCCCCGACCACCCCCATCCCCACTCCCCACCACCCACCCACCCCCCACCACCCACACACACACACACAGCACCCCGGCGTGCCTTTTCTCCAGAAAAAAATTCTTAGTGAGTATTTTCACTATTTAACTAATACGTACTTAATGTGTTTTGTACCACAAGAAAATCAGTTTTAAAACCAACATTAAACAGTCATTAAACAATAGTATTTTAGAATAGACTTATGCCGACAGTAGTATTTCAAATTAGCAGGGAATATTCTTCAAACTCAATTTAAAACTTATTTCTTCCAAATATATATTCCCATTATTTATTTATTTTCTGCAGGAATGCAAAAATCAGATCTAGAAATGATAGGGAAAAATATGAAAACTTCTTTGAAATACTAAGTGACTGCCTTCGGCATGTTCGGTGAAACGCGATTTCCACACCTCCACTGTGTCGAATTATATTGATTAACAGGACAAACACGTGCACTTCCTGTGAACCGTGTGAACTTGATGACGGAAAATAAAAGCCAATGATTACTGTCAAGTGTATTTGTTTATCTAAAAAAAAATGATTACCTTTACTGCTTGGAATATTTAGGAAAAATAAAAAGAAGTTTTATTTAATACAACGGATATCTGAGAATTGAGGCTCTCTCTCTCTCTCTCTCTCTCTCTCTCTCTCTCTCTCTCTCTCTCTCTCTCTCTCTCTCTCTCTCTCTCTCTCTCTCTCGTACATTTCTCTGTTCAGTAAAAACTATGACAGCACTGTTGCAACCACTGTTGAAAAAACGACCACTATTGAAATAATTATATCAAAAGTGGTTGAGAGTGCATTTCAATAGCAAACATAGTTGGTAACCACTATTGAAATACAACTCATTTACTACTATTTAAAAAATTCTATCAATAGTGGTTCAGAGAGCATTTCAATAACAAACATAAGTAATAACCACTATTGAAATACGACCAATATTGAAATAATTATTTCAATGGTGGTTGAGAGTGCATTTCAATAACAAACATAAGTAATAACCACTTTTGAAATACGACCACTATTGAAATAATTATTTCAATAGTGGGTGAGAGTGCATTTCACAAACATAGGTAATTAATACTATTGAAATACGACCACTATTGAAATAATGATTTCAATAGTGGGTGAGATTCATTTCAATAACAAACATTGGTTGCAACCACTATTGAAATAATGATCACTGAAATAAAGATTTTAATATGGATTAAATTATTGATTTCAATAGTACATTGAACAATGAATCCAATATATTGAAATAATTATTTCAAAAGTTGCAGACGAGGTGAAACTTTTCTTTCAATACTGGTAGTATTTAAATAGTGGTAAAAACTTATGGTTACCATATTGAAATGCACTCGCATCCACTATTGAATAATTATTTCAGTAGTGCTAGTATTTCAATAGTGGTTGAAACTTATGGTTATTATATTTCAATGCAGTCTCACCCACTATTGAAAAAATATTTCAATAGAGGCCGTATTTCAATAGTGGTTACAACTATATTTGTTATTGAATTGCAAACTCAACCACTATCGATATAATTATTTCAAAAGTGGTCGTTTTTCAATAGTGGTTACTAACTATGTTTTCTATTATACTGCACTCTCAACCACTAATGATATAATTATTTCAATAGTGGTCGTATTTCAATAGTGGTTACTAACTATGTGTCACAACTGACCTCAAGTTGTGATGGATTCTTTATAGAATTTACTAACCAAAAATAAATAATATTTTGGAAGACCTCCTGTGTACCAATAAACAACAAGATTTATAAAAATTAACAACAAATTTATCTACATATGTACAATAAACATGAAACCGGCCAAAAGTTCAATCATGGTCATCACTGGACAAATTCACACTCCACACCACGTCCATGGTCCACCATATTGTCCATGTTGTCCACCATAGTGTCCCGTCCGGTCCACCATATCCTAAGTAGCCTTACTACGTAACAAATCCTCCCGTCCGAATAAAGATTATATACAATTCTGGTCACCTACAATTTTCATAGGGTTTTCTAATAAAATGTTCAAAACACTTATCTGTTCAAAATACTAGATTTTACAAACAAATTACAAAAGAAAACATGTATTTTTGCCGTTTAACAAGTAAATGAATTAGAGCGTAAATATATACATTCTCGCTATATTGCTAACAGTTTTACATAGAAAATTGCTATTTAAAGCTAACAACAAAAATATTGTAAAGTGTAAAAACTTACTGAGCTGTGGCATTTTACACATAAAAATCATACTGTCTGCCCCCAGGTCTTGCTCTCAACGCCGCTACAAAACATCCCTGAATCCCAAGATCACACAGTAGGGGAAACAGCTAAAACACACCCAAGTTCACACAGCATGGGTTACATAAAAGGCACACCCAAGATCACTCAGCATGGGTAAAGCATAACTCACGGCGTCCAGACCTCATCTGACAAACACTAGCCAACACCCAGCAGTACAAATAACTGACCAAACTACTCAAACGG